AGAAGTAAGGATACACACAAACTGAAAGGGAAAAGATGAAAACAAATATTCCATATAAATGAAAATGAAGAGAAAACTGGTATAGCTATACTTATATCAGACAAAACAGACTTTAAAACAGACTATAAAAGACAAAGAAGGGCATTACATAATGAAAAAGCAGTCAAACAAGAGGATATAAAAATTATATTTATGCATCCAACATAGGAGTACCTATATATAAAGCAAATATTAACAGACATCAAGGGAGAAATTGTCTGCAATACAATAATAGTAGTGGATTTTAACACCCAACTTACCTCAATGGCTAGATCATCCAGACAGAAAATCAATAAGGAAACACTGACTTTAAACAACACATTAGATCAAATGGACTTAATAGAAAAATACAGAACATTCAATCCAAAAGCAGCAGAATACACATGCTTCTCAAGTGCACATGAAACATTCTCCAGGACAGATCACATGTTAGGCCACAAAACAAGTTCTCACTAGATTTAAGAAGACTGAAATCATATCAAGCATCTTTTCTGATCACAGTGGCATGAAACTAAAAATCAATTACAAGAAAAAAAACTGAAAAAAATCACAAATATGTAGATTAAACAACATGCTACTGAACAATCAATGGGTCAACAAAGAAATCAAAGAGGAAATCAGAAAATACCTTGAGACAAATGAAAATGTAAATATAACAATTCATGGGATGCAGCAAAAGATGTTCTAGTAGGGAAGTTCATAGTGATACATGCCTACCTCGAGAAACAAGGAAAATCTCAAACTAACTTTACATCTAAAAGAACTAGAAAAAGAATAAATAAATCCCAAAGTTAGTAGAAAGAAGGAAATAAGAAAGATCATAGAAATAAATAAAATAGAAACTAAAAATCAAATTTAAAAATCAATGAAACTGGTTCTTTGGAAGGGTAAACAAAATTGACAAACCTTTAACTAGACTCACCAAAAAGAGAAGACTCAAATAAGTAAAATTAGAAATGAAAGAGAAGTTATAACTGATATCACAGAAATACAAAGGATCATAAGAGACTTCTATGAACAATTAATTATATGCCAACGAACTGGACAACACTGAAAAATGGATAAATTCTTAGAAACACACAATCTTCCAATACAGACTCATGAAGAAATAGAAAATTGGAATAGACAAATTACAAGTAAGGAAATTGAATTTGTAATCACAAGCCTCCCAACAAACAAAGCCCCAGGACCAGATGGCTTCCCTGGTGAATTCTACAAAATATTCAAAGATTTAATACCTATTTTCTCAAACTTTACCCAAAAAAATGAAGAGGAGGGAATGCTTCCAATCTCATTTTACAAGGCCAGCATTACCCTAATACCAAAACCAGATAAGGATGCCACATAAAAAAGAAAATTACAGGCCAATATCCCTGATGAATACAGATACAAAAATTCTCAATAAAATAGTAGCAAAACAAATTCAACAATACATTAAAAGGATCATACACTATGATCATTGACCTTATAGAAAGAACCCTGGCTTAGACTATTGTAACAGATTACTATAAAATGGGTGGCTTAAACAACAAATATTTAGGGCGCCTGGGTGGCTCAGTTGGTTAAGCGACTGCCTTCGGCTCAGGTCATGATCCTGGAGTCCCGGGATCGAGTCCCGCATTGGGCTCTCTGCTCAGCAGGGGGTCTGCCTCTTCCTCTGACCCTCTTCCCTCTCGTGCTGTCTCTCATTCTCTCTCTCAAATAAATAAATAAATAAAATCTTTAAAAAAAAAACAACAACAAATATTTATTTCCCACAATTCTGAAGGCTGAGGAGTCCAAAATCAAGGTGCTGGTGGATTTGGTGCCTGGTGAGAAGGCCCTTTTCCAGTTTGTACCTTCTTGCTATATTCTAACATGGTGAAGAGGATGATCATCTCTCCTTTATCTACTTAGGAGGGCACTAATCCCATTCATGAAGGCTCCACCCTCATGTCTTAATTACCTCCCATAGGCCCACCTCCAAATACCATCACACTGGGGATTAGGGGTTCAACATATGAATTTTACCAGGGGTTTTGGGGCGGGGGGTCACATTCAGTCCTTACCAAATCCTTATTTTAGAAAGAACAAACTGAAAGCCACTGAGTCTGCTTTCCCCGACTAAGTAAATTAGAAGCAATTTAGGCAAAGAATTGCAGACATTAATGCCACCTTTAAGGATTTGAAGGAGGGACGCCTGGGTGGCTCAGTTGGCTAAAGCGTCTATCTTCGGCTCAGGTCATGATCCCAGGGTCCTGGGATCGAGTCTCACATCGGGCTCCTTGCTCAACAGGGAGCCTGCTTCTCCCTCTGCTTACCTCTCTCTCTGACAAATAAAAATAAAAATCTTTATAAAAAACAAAACAAAACAAAGATTTGAAGGATGTGGGCAGAGGGTCTCTATACCCCCATTCAATTCACCTCTCTGGGCCTTACAAAAATTAGATGGAAAAAGTTCTAGAGATGGACGGATGGTGATGGTTACACAACAATGTGAATGTACTTAATGCCACTGAATTCTACACTTAAAAACTGTAAAAATAATGTATTTCATGCTATGTATTTTTTTTTACCACACACAAAAAACAAACTAGATGGATTATGGCAGAAAACAATGGACTATCTTAATTGCAGCTATTCTGGATAGAGTTATCCTTTTTCTTTTTTTATTTTTTAAAGATCTTATTTATTTGTCAGAGAGAGAGCACAAGCAGGGGGAGCGGCAGGCAGAAGGAGAGGGAAAAGCAGGCTCCCTACTGAGCAGGGAGCCCCATGCAGGACTTGATCCCAGGACCCTGGGATCACGACTCAAGCCGAGGGCAGATGCTTAGCTGACTGAACCACTCACGCATCCCTCCTTTCTCTTTAAGACAGCTTTATTGAGATCTAATTCTCACACAGTAAAGTCCACTACTTTAAAGTGTACAATTCAGGGATCATCAGGGATATTGGCCTGTTACTTTCTTTTTTTGTGGCATCCTTATCTGGTTTTGGTATTAGGGTAATGCTGGCCTTGTAAAATGAGTTTGAAAGTGTACAATTCAATACTAAAAATTATATTGACAAAGTTGTCACTGACCACCACTATCTAGTTCCAAAACATTTTCATCACCTTAAAAAGAAACCCTATATCCTGGCAGCCACTAATCTTTCTCTGCATTTGCCTCTTCTAGCCATGTCATATGAAATTACAACATATGGCTTCTTGTGTTCAGCTTCTTCCATGTTTTCAATGTTTATTAATGTTGTAAATGTCGCTATTTCATTAATTATGGCTGAGTAATATTCTATTGTGTGCTACAATTTGTCATGCATTGATAGACATTTGTGTTATTTCCACTTTTTTGGCTATTATAATAATGATGCTTTGAACAATCATGTACAAATTTGTGGACGTTTTCACTTCCCCTGGATATCTACCTAGAAGCAGAATTACTGGGTCACACGGTAACACTGTTTAACTTTTTGAGTAACTGCCAAACTGCTGCACAGCCACTGCAGTTTTACATCCCACCAGCAGCCTATCAGGGTTTCAATTTCTCCCCATCCTTGCTGACAGTTGTTATCTTCCATCTTTTTGTTTGTAGTCATCTAAGTTTGTGAAGTGGTATCTCATTGTGACCTTGATATAAATGGCTGCAATATTTTTATTAGAAAAAAAATTAACTCATTCTCTGCCACTTGGTATGTAAATACTAAACTGACCAATGCATCATTCTCAAAAGGAGGATCAAAAGCAGTTCAATTTAAATTGATGTTAGATAGGATTATCATTCCTTGGATACAACAGGATCATATATTCCTGCTCATTATCATGTGACTTGACTCTGCACCCTGTACAAAGTCTGTGTCTCTGCCCTTGACTTTGGGCTTGACCATGTGACATGCTCTAAACCAACAGAATATGAGAAGATTTGACATTTGCCACAAATGAGCAGAAGCTTACAATTCCAAGTTTCCTCTCTGTCTCAATCCTATATTGTCATATCCCAGAAAGGAGATTCTCCTTGAGCCTGGGTCCCACAATGAGAAGACTCATACAACACAACCCCAGTCTAGCTGTGTAGTTCAAGCAAAGCTAAGCCTGTCACATGGTAAATACTTGGTATATGAACTAAAATCTTAATGTATATTTTTATGTGCATAGAAGAAAAAGTCTCAAAGGCTTACACTAAACTGTTGAAGGTGCTGATTAAATCAATGTATACAGTAATTTTCACCTTTCAGTTTGTTCATTTCCATACTGTTTGAATTTTTTAATGTACATGCACTATTTTCGTAATATTTTTTCACTCCCTTTTTTAAAAATTACCCATGCTGGCCTCCATTGAACACAGACAGCTTAGATTAAGCTATAATAAATTTACTTTTCAAGAAAAAGAAATCAATAATAAAAATGAGTTGATTTAAATAAAGCATCTTGTACATGTGATTACATTGATAGCTCTCAGTGAAAATATAAGCTTAAGATTATTAGAATAAGTAATTATCAGTTCCTACCAATTTCAAAAAAACATTGTAACTACATGAAAAATAGCTTTGTAACTAATTAATTCCACCCTTTGCACCATTATTAATGCAAATTTGCTTAGGTTAAACAAACAGATCTGTGTCATATTTGCTATCCTATATAATACCATCTATCTTAACTAAAACCTCAATTTGATCTGAGCTACCCCCATTCTCAATTTACTCCTTCATTCTGCCTGGGGCTGAAAGACTGCTCATGTATATTAAATCGGCTAACTGTAGGCTACTTGAGGGGCATTCTGCCTGAGGTGGTTAACTTGACCCACTTCATCTATAACCAGTACTATAAACACCATTCCCAGCTATTTTATAAATAGAGTCTTGTCATCCCTTGATCCTGTATATGCTGCATTTCCAGAAAAATAAACATCAACTGGGAAACAAAATATTCTTTAAGACATTCATTTTAAAAAATGACAAATAAAATTAAACATTAAAATTGACAGTGCTTGTTTTAAAATCATTACCTATGATTTATTTGTGTTTAAAATATACTTGAGAAGTTTTTACTAGATTATTTATAGTCAATGTATAATTTCAATAGAACTTTAAACAATTACATTTCAACTCCATGTAGTATTAACTTTTCTTCTCTTCTGATTCTTGTGCCAATTTCAACTTTTCTTTTAATTCCATCTGATCTCGGTAGTACTGTTCAAATACTGGTTGATAAATATACATCCCTCCAGCAATTCCGAGGATGCTAGCAAAAAGCAGTTGTGGAAGAGTCAATCTCCCAAACATTTTTCAACAAATGCTATACAGTGCTTTTGCCACACCGTGGTTTTGAAAAATTACAGTCCACATCCAGGAAATATCTTCAGATCTGTGTACAAAGTAAATGGAAAGCAAAGCAGTAATTTAGCACAACATCCTTTTAAAAGATTCCAGGTCACTACTTTGTTCCAGAGTGAGTAGTATTTTCATCATAATATGTAAATATCACTTGATTTAACTAAAATAGGAATATAAATATACAGGGAATATGACAAATGAGGATTAGGGGATGGTGTAAGACAAAGCTAAATCCTATTATAGAATTTTCTCAATGGTTTTAAATAAATAATTCTTAAAATGGCAAAACTGGGGGAGAGGCTGGTAAGAGAAATCCTCTTTACACCTTGACATACCATCATAAAACTAATCACTGAAAGAAACAGCTCCCCCAAAAAGTTGAAAGTGATTGCCCATCCAATCTGGAAGTAGAAGAAAGAGAATTGTTACTTTTCATTATTAGTCCTTGTTTACTATTTCATGTTTTTTGGCAATATGCATAATTAAAAACAATTTTTAAAGCAGGCTAAAAGATTTTGAGTTCCCTTTGATGCTTTAGAAGGTACAAGTAGACATCAAACACATGAAATAACTTGCCATCCATTTATTTTATTTTATTTTATTATGTTATGTTTATCACCATACATTTTTTATAATATAAAGGAGACTTGACTGATTTATTACTTTTAACAACTGAGGAGTAAAGACTCCAGTATTTCTCAGAAAGTTATATTCGGGAACACCATAGTCTCTGGAGAAAACAGATGTTTATGAAAGAGGAAAGCAGAGTAACGGATTTACATATTTTCTTATAACAGTCTTTCACCGTCTCCTAGACCGGCCCCGAGGTTACAGAAATCATTAGCGGCAGAACCGATACTAGAAACTGGGATTGTCTTTAACATCGCTAAAATGTAATTTAAACTAATATGGGAAAGAAATGCCTGTTTGCTCTTGGACGGTTAACTAGATAAATGACAGCTTACCAAGAATGCTACGGCTCATCGCCCGCGGAGGAAGGAAGGGAGGGAGGGAGGGAATCGTAATTATCATTACTATTATCATTACCACTTAAACACCTCCGACCGTTCGGCTGTCGCTTCGCGTCGCTGACCCCGCCTCTCGGCTGCCCTAGCCTAGGGGAGCTCCGGCTCCTTCCAGCATCTCCGGAAGAGAAAACAGGGCGCGGAGACCACGAAGCCAAAGGGAGACAGCAACCTCACGAGAAGGATAAGCCAAAGAAAAAGCGCAAGCGAGCTCGCGACAAAGCTTACCAAGCTTACCCGTGCCAAACCAACCTGCGGCACCCGGCGGCACACACCAACTTCGGGGGTCGTTGTGAGGAAGCTGCCCTTTCCCAGCTACCTCCGCGCCTGCGTGTGACGGCTGCTGCAGAGGCCAAACTTAGGGAGCGGAAGAGAAACGCGCGTCCCTCCGACTGCAGTCTCCCTCATCGCGGGGACTGAGGTGTCAGGGGATCCTCCGCAGACCTCGAAGTAGGTGCAGGATGAAGCAAGAGGGCGACGATGGCCGACTTTTTTTCCGCGGCCTCCAGAACCGCGCCCACGAGAAGATGAAGCTGCGAAAGAGAAAGTCAACTTTGTACCTCAGTCCCCGGAAGAGCACCGAGCGCCGCGGAGGTGAGCGGGTGGGGTGCGGGAGTCGAGCTCCCAGGCCGTGGCGGCGGAAAGCCGCGGACCCTGAGCTGGGGCTCCATCTGCTGGGCGGGGTTGCCACGAAATCGTAGTGCACCCGAGACCGGATTCTCCATTCCTGCCGCTTGCGTGGCACTTTGTTCTGCATCAGTTAGTTCTGCCGCGGCCGTGCGGAGCGAGTTGACATGACGTAGCCATCCGCATTTTAGAAAGGGGACACCCGCGGTGGCAGTTACCTACGGTTTCGCAGCTACGGAGGGACTGATTCCTGGGGTTGGACCAGGTCTGACTCCCAGCCCATTTATTTTCCCCACCCCCCACCCCGGCCTTCTCTTTGGTCCGGTGTGATGATGACAGGAGCAAAATCACCCCAGTAAGTGGCTTTTGATCTGTCAGACGGGGGTATTTAATATAAAGATGGACTTCTCGTTCATTCGATAAATATTTTGCGCCTTGTATGTGCGGAGCACTGTGTAAGCGGCATGAAAAGAATGCCGAGTTTCCCTGTGGAAACCTGAAACCGAGAAAGGGGAGAATCATTTTGCTAAATGAAGGAGGATCGTGACGGGGGAAAGGGAGTTGTAGATGAGCCCGAGTTCTCTCGTTCTTGTCCCCTAACCCTTCCGTTGTTAGAAGTTGGATCCCTCTGGGTAAAGGTTAGTAACGATGGTAAATTACCATACGAGTCACAGATATATAGTTGAACTTTTAGGTATATCTTGATCAAGATCACTTGTTCAGGGGCCAGCTCGGAGTGCTGTTTATTCTGCACCAGTCCACAGAGTAAAGGGTTTTCTTTCAGCAGATATAGTTCGGTCGGGGTGTTTCTTTAAGTGCTTCTGAAAGATGAGATGGGGCGTGTGTGTTGTGTGGAATGTACCAATTGTCTGAAAAATATTTAAATGTGTTCCTGGAGAATAAGGAAGGAGAGTGGCAGGAACCTAGAACTATAGCAAAAGGCTCAAAATGGATTAGAATGCAAACACAAATACTCAGGAGGCCAAACAGGGGTCTGAATAAATTAAAGCACTTTCTATTAAAGAACCAGCCAGTTGTTGCCAGTTGAGCTTTGTTGTCAGATCTTAGTGTGAAATGCTGTAATACAGATTTTAATATAAAGTCGGATTTTTAAATGTTGACAACTAAATTCACATTAAAAAAAAAACAACAACAAAACTCTGTATTCAGCTTGCAGGCTCTCCAATTGTGGCGAAGAGCAGGGCTATGGAGGCAGCAGATAGACCTGGTTTTGAATCCCGTTTAGTAATTGCAGCCTTTTTGACTTTGGACAAGGCAGTTTAACTTCTTCGTCTCAACTTCCTCATATGTGAATGGGGCCAATACCTACCGTTTAGCATGATGTGGAGGATTAAATGAGATGAGGCATGTGAAGGAATGAACTCAGTGCCTTGCATAGAGTAAGCAACGATAAGGGCTATTTAAAAACATGCAGAGGACCATTTGATATATATAGAAGAGTTGATCCTAAGTTAGTAATTTGTTAGCTGATTTCTTTCATTAGCTACCCATATAGGATATCACCTAATTAGCCTAAGGCCTTAGTTAACTGTATCTCTTTTTCAGTGATATCTTACTATTCTCCTTATACAATTAATTGCAGAAAGACTGGTTAAATGAAAGGAGTGGTGATTTCCCAATGGTGAGGCTCCGGCCCTCATATAACTGTCAACCCAGGTCTGCTTTGAGAGTAGCGTGGCTGGGCCAGAGTTCTCTACTGTGACTTCACAGAGTCTGAGCAAGGCGCCAACCAGAGCAGCAGATTTTAGTTCTGCAAGTGGAACTTGCCTGACTTTTGTGCCACAATTACTTGTTTTGTTTTGTTTTTCAGATCTTCTTGGTGAAAACATTTATCTGGTCTTGTTTACCATAGCATTACGAATATGTAACTGTTTTTTAGTCCAGACAAGTTTTGTTCCAGATGAATATTGGCAGTCTCTTGAAGTTGCACATCACATGGTTTTCAAATATCCTTTGTAGTTTCTTTTCCAGACTAGAAATGTATATTCATCTTAGAAATTGTGCCTGCTTCTATTATATATTTTCAATCAATTTTCCATATATTCTCTAAGTAATTTTAACTTATCAAAGTATACCATTATTTTACACTAGTATTTCTTCTACCTTTCTTTGATATTAATATACTTGACTCAGCCTTTAACCAGCAGGTATTCCCATAGTGCTCAGTACTGTGGAGGATATAGATGAAGTAAAAAACACATTCCCTTCTTGAAGAAGTTATGAGTTTAATTGGCCAGTTGCATTTTTAATTCAAATAACCAGTATAAAATGCTGTGGTTTTAAGCTTCTTTATCAAAAAAATAGAAATTTTTTATGCACAGAAATCAAATAGATTTTGTTTCAGTGCTATTTAACATTAGTCCTTAATATTACTAATTATGGTTATTTGACCTGGGAATGGACAGAAAGATTGAGGGGTTACACTTATCCCTTAATCTTTGCAAGCATTTACAAGATTCTGCATCTTTTGGGAAAAGATAGTGTTCAGCTGCTGGTAAGTTTAAATAAAAGTAATCAAAATAGTTATTAAAGGTCGATTTATTCCATCCTTTTTAAAAGGCTAATGTATATTAACTCAATGACATTATTGGTATCACAAAGTTTGTTTTTAAAAAAGATACTGTTGCTAAACTCTGACCATATCTGGGCAGCCCACAGTTCAAAGACATACTGTGATGTGTAACCCCTCATTGTGTGCTGAAACACAAAACTGAGCATGAAAGTGTCCTACTTCAAGGAATCCTGTTAAGATATTCAGACTTTCAGAATGACTACATTTTATATTAATTATTTGGACTTTAGAAGTATTCTTCTTTCATGAAAGAATCACACGAGAGCAGTGTTGTATCTTGTTTAACTTGTGAGCAGAAGACCATGTTATAGGAGCTTATGAAGACTATATATAAACCCATTCAGGATTTAGTGTTGAAATTAAATTTTAGAGAAAATTAATTTGACAAGAATTTAATGATATGCACAATCATTGTGCTATGTGTGTAGTAATTAGGCAGCAATAGTAAGTAGGGTTGTAATTCCCAGATCATGAACTTCTGGGGTCAGTTGCCAAAAGAAGGTACCAAAGAACTAATGGTGCCAAAGTTTCTCTAAAGTCACTCTCAAGATCCTTTAAGCTGTCCTCAGATTAGACTCAGAAGTTTGGGCCTTCCCCATTTTCTGTAGGGAAGTGGCCCAGAATTCTAAAGGCAGTCCAAATCCTGAGGGTTTCTTGGAGCCTGGAAAGACACATGGAAGGATCATGGGGAAGGAGAATTTAGAGCAGTAGCAGAGTTTCTCCCATTGACACGTGTGGAAGTTAGGGGCTTTGAATTCCCTTCTGTCAGGGCTTCTAGATTATGTAGGATAACCATAAAGTCTGGAACCACAGGCAATATACATAATGTCATCAAGGATATCTTATATCCCAAGAAGTAGGTTATATTATGAATGAAGGAGTCTTTAAGATAGAAAACTTCCTATTCCTCCAGGACCTATCCACTTCCCTCAACCTGTAGCTGACCCACCTGGCCATTTTGTGATTTAAAGTAAACCTCCTGTAGTCCCCATCCCCACCCCACTGTCCCCCTCAAATCCTCTGTCCTATCTGGAACTTGACCAGGTGGAGAAACATTAAGATGCTATCAGTTAGTCATTCATACTGTCATATTGATTATTTTAAACATAGATTACATACTTTTGAAACCAGAAGGGGTCAGAGAAGTGAAATAAATAGACCAAGGTCACAGCATATTAAAAGCAGAGCTAAAACTAGATCCTAGGTCTGCTTCATTCATAGCCTGGTGCTCTTACCAGATAGCTTCTCCCTAAACTGCATAAAGTGTGTATACAGAATTAGGAATGGCTTAGAATTGCACCAATATGGTAGCCACTAGCCACATGTGTCTGTTGAATATTTGAAATGTGGCTAGTCCACATTGAGAAGTGCTATTAGTATAAAATTCATACTGGATATCAAAAACCTAGTACAAAATAAAAATGTAAAATGTTTCTGTAATTTTTTTATTTTGATGAAATAATAATTTAGATATATTGGGTTAAACAAAATAACTAAAATTAATTTTACCTGTTTGGGATTTTTTTTTATTTTTTAATTTGGCTACTATAAAATTTTAAATTACGTACATGGATCGTGTTATATCTCTACTGGACAGCACTGGCTTAGAACACATTAGAAGAAAGGGATATAGAAGGGAGACCTGAATAGGGTGCCACAGTGGGGGCTTTCAATAGTCAGAAGACATGTAAGGGCATCTGACCTCTGGAGCTTAATGGAGGGATCAGGAGCTTAAAGAACAGGAGAATGATAAGCTGCCAACACAATATCATACTCAAGGTTTACCCCTTGCATGTTCCTTCTCTTTGCCCCACCCCTCTACTTTTTATTTCCAAGAGTCATATGCAACTATTATTTAATTCTTCTCAGGTCCTTACTATAAACCTAGAAAATTACAGTATCTTAAAAGTCTGGAGAGACTTCTAATAACTGGGAATTTACATCTCCACTTATTTTTGTGTTGAGCTAAAATCTACCTTCTTTTATTTTTATTTTTTTAAAGATTTTATTTATTTATTTGAGACACAGAGAGAGCACGAGCAGCGGAGAGAGGGAGGAGGAGGCTCCCCGCTTAGCTGGGAGCCCGACATGGGGCTCTCTCCTAAGACCCTGGGATCATGACCTGAGCCAAAGGCAGACGCTTAAATGACTGAGCCACCCAGGCGCCCCAAATCTACCTTCTTTTAAATTCAAGATTTCTACAAAACAACCCTTCAGAAAGTTTTATTTGTCCAGGATAAACATCTCCATTTCTAAATATCATAATCAGATAATGTCCTTTAGACATCTTATAATTTATTAATATCTGTCTTAAAATGTAGGTCTCCAAATTGAATATAATATTGAAAGCTAGGGTAACTAGTTCAGAATATAGTGGAACCATTAATCCTACAAATGTTACACTTCTGTCAATGCACAAGGATTCTTTTAGTTTTAGTGGTTCCTTATACTGTTGGCTTATATTAAGTTTGTAGCCAAACTGACTTCTCACATGAACTACTTTCAGGCCTGAGAGGTAAGAATGAAGCATATACATCTCTATGCAGAGAAAACAGAAGGTATGTATATAGATGCCTTTTGCTGTATTTTACAGGGCAGAGTTTAAGTGAAATTATGAAGTACATCATACCTTTAAGACTTAAACATTTATTTACAGATTACTAACAAAGAAGAGGAACATGTGTTAAAAGTGTTAGAAGGTGTTAGAAGCCACTGACACCTGAAAGTAGAGCCAGTCTAATTATACTATAAAGTTAATGAATGTTGATCCAACAAAAATACAAACTTAAATATATTTTAGAAACACATCTTTTGAACAAACCTAGATTAAATTGTGCTCTATCAGTATGTTATTTTGTTAATAACTGTGACACATTTTTTTAAAACTCTCAAAGATGTCATTTGTAGCATTAGAATTACTAACTGTAATTAAGTTATAATACATTTACTCTTTAGTTTTGCTCTTAAATTTACTTTTTAATGTCATCTGATTACTATGTTTCTATAATTGTAGAATACTTGTCCTTTTATGGAAAAAAAAATAACTCATTTTATTATCTATATTGCAGGATGGGGAAGTAATGTAACTTAGTAGTTAAGAGCACAGGCTTTAGAATCAGGAAGACCTAGGTTTGAATTCTGGTTTCCACACTAAGTAGCTGTGCAGCCTTGAGAAAATTATTTAACGTCTCTTTACCTCAGTTTCCTCAATTATAAGGCAGTACCTGTCTCACAGGGATTGTTAGGAGGACTGAATGAGCTGATATATATATAAAGTACTTGGTGTGATACCTATCACACATTACTATAAGTGCTTCATAAAAATTTAACCTATTGTTATGCTAATGAAAATCACTAAATGTGCTTCTAAAATAGAACCTTAACACAATGAACTATTTTGTTGGCTATCTACATTAAAAGTAGTAGTGTTGTGGGCGCCTGGGTGGCTCAGTTGGTTAAGCGACTGCCTTCAGCTCAGGTCATGATCCTGGAGTCCCTGGATCGAGTCCTGCGTCGGGCTCCCTGCTCGGCAGGGAGTCTGCTTCTCCCTCTGACCCTCCCCCCTCTCATGCTCTCTCTCATTCTCTCTCTCAAATAAATAAAATCTTTAAAAAAAATAAAAAATAAAAGTAGTAGTGTTATAATATATAAATTACAGAGAGAAAGAATGAGAATGATGAAACTACCTTGGGCATTTCCCTGAAAAATTAATGCAATTTTTGTAGAAAAGCAGGTATTTTTGCAGAACAATAGAATAATACATTATGTCTATTTTTGTACTAAGAATGGCCTTCAGTTGATAGTTGGATCAGTTTGTTGATTTCTTAATTCTGTGTGAACTGGTACGTGTTTTTTAATATCTTTTTTTTTTTTTGAACTATTGAAGATCTGGATTCCTAGACTTGCCCAAGCACTTCTGTCTGCTATGGCAGACATTAGACTCTACTCAATAATGAAGCAACTAGAAAATCAGCAAATGGCAAAATGGGTGGTAAGTCCTAAACACTTCAAAAACTAGTCACTTACTCCATTCCTAACAGCATGAAGCACATGGAAAAATCAGTTCTCAAAACAGCTTCAGAAGATACTTTGTACAACTTTAGAGAGGTACTTCCATAATGAAGAACAGCAAAATGCAAGTGGTGCCTGCCATATCGCTCTGATTGCACCCTGGGTGATTGACGCCATTGATGCCCTCCAAATCTTTGAACCCTAGGAACAAACAGCCTTTGGAAGCACTGCAGTCATCAAAGCTGTCAAGAGTCTTTGCCTCACTTTCTGTAAAATTCAGTAGGAATAGTTCTAATCATTGCCTACCTCACAAATCACCTACAACCTTTGTTCACTACCTCTAGCGACCTGAGACTGAGCCTAAGAAGTACATTTTCACTGAAGCATTCTTTCACCTCTAGCTAGAGTATTTGAAATAGTTAGACTCTGTAAGGGAGAAAATGTGGTGTAGAAAACTGTCCTTTGTCAGACTGGCTTATTTCACAGTGGAGTGATAGATTCCTTATTTCACATTCAAATCTTGAATGGATTTTCTCATTGAAACCATAACCTGAAGCGTGATTGGATTCTTTAGTACTGTGGTTAACCTTCCTTGGCTCGTTCTTAAATTAAATAAACTTATACAAGCTAGCTTTGAAATCTTACTACCTTTTTAGTACTGTTTCTACTGGAAAATATGTTCCAAATTCCAAGTGACCAATTTATCAACAAATTTCTGGAATATAATTTATTATTTATTTATTAGTAAATATTTATTATTATAAATTATTAATAATACATTTCTGCAGCTAGTGTGTTTATTTGCATTAAAAAGAATGGTTTAGCGATTGAGTCCTTGTTAATGGATTCAAGGATAAAATCAGTCTCTTTATTTTGTGCTTACATACACAGATGAAGGCTCAACCTAAAATGGCAAAAGTGTAATGCCTTTGAAATCCTCCCTCCAAAGTAGTAGTACTAGTTTCTTCTAGTTTAAGAAAAGCCTTTAAATCCACAAAAATTTGGAACATTTTTTAAAGGCTGTATTTGAAGAGATAGGGATCTAATACCACATGTTTAACATCCTTGCACCAGCTAACAAGTTCTTTTAAGACATTTGCTTTATAGACTTGATGCTTCTGTTTGCATGTTCTTCCAAAAACTGGTTTATTATTTTAGTCGATTTACCTGAAAGTATAAACTTGTTAACTTTAACACCCACATATCTGGTATTATCATAGATCTGTGTGTAATGTAACTTCTTAAAAACAATGTTTGGGCATGCCTATTTTCAATATCGTTTATGTTTTGATGTGATTTTTGTAGTAGGTAGACTTGCTGTTTTCCATAGAAGAAGATAATACTGAGCTTTTCCATTTCCCACTCCATATATGTTTGCTTATAATTGTTCTTAGTTTTTTTGCCAGTTATGCTCTTGGTTCACATGGTATTGCTGTACCAGAACTCTTACAAACACCATGGAAACTGTTCTCACTATAATTGCTCTTTTCTACTATCCTTTGGAAGGTTCAAAGTCTGTGAACAGGTGAGATACATTACTGTTAATAATTATGTACAAAACGTGAAAAATTTTAAATATCAACATATTGTAATGTCTGGTGGACCCCTGAATGTTCATGAAGTTTATTAAAACCACATTGTCAGTTGATACATTTATTATAGCAGGAAACAGATATACGCAAACTAGGTAATGAAGGGCAGTTTAATAAAAGGACTATGTACAAATGTTTAGGCAATGTTTAGAAAAACCAATATGGGGATAACCATAGTAACCCCAGGGCTAGTCATAGGAGGAATTTTCTGCTACCCCTTAGGCCCAAGGAGAGGTAATAATTGTAATGGAAATCCATACAAAGCTGTAACTTAAGAGAGGGCCCCAATAGGGGACATGCACAGCCAGCCTTTAGTCATAGCAAGAAGAGAGCTGGGGGAACAAAATGCCCTGAGTTAACTCTTCTGCCCTCCAATCAGTCAAGGCCAATCAGAAGCCAGAAAGCAAGTGAGTTCATTGATATAGTTCAGGCAGGTCAGCTTCCCTGCACAAAGAGCAAGTGAAGAATAGAGGGAAACAGATCTGGAAGGGCAAATAGAAAATATATGAACCCAGGAGATTGGGTCCAAGATGGCAGCATAGGAAGATTCTGAACTCACCTCCTCCCTCAGACATACCAAAACTATAGGAACATATGGATCATTTCTCGCCAAAAAGATCTGAAAGCTAGATGAATTGCTCTCTACAACAAAGGGTAAAGATAGGTAGAAGAGGCAGAGACACAGTCTCACAAAAAAAACCCACCCGCAGCATGGCAACACACAATAGGGAGGGATCTCACCAGCTAGCCCTTCTTCCAGAAAAGCAAGGGGTTGATGCCCCATATCAGGCACTCTGGCCCCTGGGATCTGCACCAGAGAAACAAGCACCCAGAACATCTGGCTTGGAAAATAAACTAGTTGACATCCAGGGGTCCCCAAGTGCTATAGGAAACTGAGGTTCCCCACTTGGATGTCTCACATACAGTCTTGGTTACCCTTGAGACCCAGGGAAAAACAGCCATTTGAAAAGTGTCCAGCAGTGACCCACCAGCAGGAGGGATGGTGTGGAGGTCATCCCTGTGGGGTAAGGGGTTCAACTCCACATCAGGGACCCCCCCTGCCTGGAGATCTGCATCAGGAGTGTGAGTCCCCATAGTGTCTGCTTTTAAAATCAGTGGGGCTTAACTCCAAAAGACCCAGAGGCCTATAGGAAACCTAAACTCTGCTCTTAAAGGCCTAGAGACAGTATCACTTGCTCCAAAAACCAGGAAAGATATTAAAATTTTAAAATTTAAAAATTTCTTGACATGAAGGACATTTATTGACAAATTTTAAGGCATGTACCAGAGAGGCTGGGCACTTTCCCCAGGAACAGAAGTGCTGGTAGATACTGTTTTTCTTGCCTACCTTCAGCCCAGCTAGCCCAATGCTGGCAAATGACAGTTCTGACACTTTCCATCTACCTTGCTAGCATAGCTTGCCCAACCCTGGCATGCCCCTACAGACCTGCCCCACCCAACCCAGTAGGTGCCCCTCCAAAGCAGCTGCCACCATGCCATACCCAGGGGGCAGCCTCTGTCAGGACTGGTACCCCTCCATAGTGACTCCAGCCCTGGGTGAGAGGGGCATCCCTGCCCACCAGCACACCCACACCAGCTGTGGCCTGTCACAACAGGAAATCACACAGCCTATACAGAGGATAGCCCTGGAATGCCTTGTTCTGGTGACCAGGGAGAATTGCACTTCTAGGCCCATGGGACACTACCTTTAAACCAGGAGACATAGCTGACCTACCTAATACCAAGACACAAACACAGAGAGTCAGATAAAATGAAATAGAGGAGTATGTTTTAAATGAGAACAAAACAAAACCTCAGAAAAAGAACTAAACAAAATGGAGACAAGCAATCTACCTGATAAAGAATTCAAAGTAATGGTCATAAACATGCTCACTGAACTTAGAAGAAGAGTGGATGAACTCAGTGAAAACTTAAGGAGATAGAAAATATAAAAAAGAACGAGTCTGAGCTGAAGAATATAACTGAAATGAAAAATACATTAGAAGGAATTAACAGCAGATTAGAGGATGCAGAACAGCAATCTGGAAGACAGGGTAGAGGAAATCATCCAAACAGAAGAGCAAATGGAAAGGAATTTTTAAAAATGAGGATATGGTAAGGGACCTCTATAACAACATTAAGCAGACTAACATTCGCATTATAGGGGTCCCAGAAGAAGAGAGAGAAAGGGGTAGAAAACTTATTTGAAGAGAAAATAGCTGAAAACTTCCCTGACCTAGGGAAGGAAACGGACATACAGGTCCAGGAAGCACAAGAGAGCCCCAAACAAGATGAACCAAAGGAGGTCCAAAATAAGACACATAATAATTAGGATGCCAAAGAGTAAAGATAAAGAGAGAATCTTAAAAACAGCAATAGAAAAGCAACTAGTTATATACAACAAAACACCCATACAACTGTGAGCTGATTTTTCAGCAGAAACTTTGCAGGCCAGAAGAGACTGGCATGATATATTCAAAGTGCTAAAATGAAAAAACCTACAGCCAAGAATGCTCTACCCAGCAAGAATTAAAGGAGAGATAAAAAGTTGTCCAAACAAAAGTTTAAAGGAGTTCATTATTACTCTACCAGTCTTTAAAAAATGTGAAAAGAAATCCTCTAAGCAGAAAAAAATTTTTTTTAAGATTTTATTTATTTATTAGAGAGAGAGAGCACATGAGAGGGGGGGAGGGTCAGAGGGAGAAGCAGACTCCCTGCTGAGCAGGGAGCCTGATGCGGGACTCAATCCCGGGACTCCAGGATCATGACCTGAGCCGAAGGCAGTCGCTTAACCAACTGAGCCACCCAGGCGCCCTGCAGAAAATTTTAATAAGAAAATTATGAAAGAAAAATTCCACTGGCAAAAGCAAAATACAGTAAAAGTAGTAGATAAACCACTTAAAGCTAGTATAAAAATTAAAAGACAAAATTAGTAAAATCAACTATATCTGTAATAATTAGTTAAGAGACAAAATAAAAATATGTACAATATGATATCAAATACATAATCATGGAGAGGGTAATGTACTGTGCTTTTAGAATGAACCTCATGGCATTAAAAACCAATAACAGATACACAAAAAATAAAAAGGAACTCAAGCATAACACTATGAAAGTCATGAAATCACAAGAGAAGAGAGCAAGAGGAAAAGAACCAGAGAGCTACAAAAACAAATAGAAAACAGTTAACAAAATGACAATAAATATGAACATACATATGAATAATTACATTAAATGTAAATGAACTAAATGCTCCAACCAAAAGACATGAAATGAATGGATGGATTAAAAAAAAAAAATCCATCTGTATGCTGCATACAAGAGACTTCAGACCAAAAGACACATACTGAATGTGAAGGGATGAATGTAGATATTCCATGCAAATGGAAGTGAAGAAAAAACTAGGGTGGTTAATGCTTAGACAAAAATAGACTTTAACACAAAGACTATAACAAGAGACAAAGAAGGGCATTATATAATGATAAAGGGATCAGTCCAACAAGAGGATATAACAACTGTAAATATTTGTTTCCAACATAGCAGCACCTAAATATATAGAGCAAATATTAACAGACCTAAAAGGAGAAATACAGTAGTAGAAGGAGACTTTAATGCCCCACTTACAACAATGGATAGATCATCCAGACAGAAAATAAGGAAACAGTAGCTTTAATGACACATTAAATCAGATTGGCTTAACAGAATATTTTTAAATTTTAAAAATTACTTGACATGAAGGAGATTTATTGACAAATTTTAAGGCATGTAAAAATTTCTTTTTTTTAGAATAGAATATTTCATCCCCAAACAGCAGAACGCACATTTTTTTTTTTTTTTGACGTGCACATGGAACATTCTCTAGAATAGATCACGTTAGGCCAAAAAGTCTCAATAATTTTAAGAAGACTGAAATCTTACCAAGCATCTTTTCTGACAACAGTGTGACACTAGAAGAAATCATTTACAATTAAAAAAAAAAAAAAACTGGAAAAAAGTGAAGGCCAAAAACATGCTACTAAACAAGCAATAGGTCAACAAAGAAATCAAAGAGGGAATCAAAAAATACCATGAGACAAATGAAAATGGAAACACAACATTCCAAAATCTTTAGGATGCAAAAGAAGCAGTTCTAAGAAGGAAGTTTATAACAAAAGAGGCCTACCTCAAGAAATAATAAAAATCTCAAACAATCTAACCTAATCTAAATTTAGTGAAAAAGAACAAAGAAAACCAGTTACTAGGAAAAATAAGAAAGATCACAGTGGAAATAAATAGAGACAAAAAATAGATCAGTGAAACTAACAGCTGATTCTTTAAAAAGATAAACAATGTTTAAAACCTTTAGCCTTGGGGCGCCTGGGTGGCTCAGTCGTTAAGCGTCTGCCTTCGGCTCAGGTCATGATCCCGGGGTCCCGGGATCAAGCCCTTCATTGGGCTCCCTGCTCCGCGAGAAGCCTGTTTCTCCCTCTCCCATTCCCCCTGCTTGTGTTCCCTCTCTAGCTGTGTTTTCTCTGTCAAATAAATAAAATCTTTAAAAAAATAAAATCTTTAGCCAGACTCATCAAGGAAAAAAGGACTTAAATCAGAAATGAAACAGGAGAAGTTACAGCCAACACCATAGAAATACAAAAGATTATAAGAGACTACTACAAAAAAATAATATATGCCAGCAAACAGGACAACCTAGAAGAAATGGATAAATTTAGAAACATAATCTTTCAAGACTGAATCAGGAAGAAACAGAAAATTTGAACAGACTGATCACTAGTAATGAAATTGAATCAATAGTTGAAAAACTCCCAACAAACAAAAGTCCAAGATCAGATGGCATCACAGATGAATTCTATAAAACTTTTAAAGAGGAGTTAATACCTATCCTTCTCTAAAATTCCAGACAATTAAAGAGGAAGGAACTCTTCTAAATTCATTCATT